ATTGTGAGTTTGAGGCCAGCCTAGACTCTATAGTGAATTTGAGGGCAGCATGGACTACAGAACAAGATCCTTTCTCAAAAACAAATGAATGAACAACAACAACAAAACAATAAACAATGGTGAAGGCCAGAGATAGAGCTCATCGGCATAAATGCCTGCCTGGCAAGTGCAAGATCCTGAGTTCAATTCCAGGTAACAAAATGAACAAACAATGGTGGAAATGGGTCTAAAAGGGAACCTCAGTTTCTTCATCTGTATAATGGACATGAGAGAAGAAAATGCCACCCCCATCTGTAAATTCAAGGTAGTGAAGAATGTAAACACTTCACAAAGCTCACAGCACTGTGCAGAACTAAGGATTATTAACTTCTAGCCAAAAAAAAAAAAAAAAACCTGAATAAGAGAGTCCCTGTCCCTGGTGAGAGAGTGCCTTCTTAATTGTACCTGAGACACTGCTTTTATGGTATACACCAACTTATTTACCTCTCAGGCTTTTAGCAAATGGGTCCAGGACTCCTTCAATTTCTCTGTAAAGTTGTTCTCCACTCTAAAGGCTTTTAAGAAGTATGTGATAGAGCACCAGAGTGCATCGGTCATCTTTCGTGGAGATTTGGCCACTGTGTCATGGCGGCTGGTCCTGTGTGACTGCTGATTCAGATGATATAAGCAAAATGGGAACGGTAACCCACTCAGTCTCCTGGCCTTGGGGGCAGTGGACTGAGTCGGTTTGACTGCTCGCTCTAGTGGGTTTAACTAGATGTTTATAAACCTCCATCAGGGGCTCTATCCTACCTCCTTACTGCCTATCAATAACCCACATAATGCTGCATAAAAAGCAACTTCATCACACCTGGCAGATACCTCGCTGGTTTCCTGCTCTACTTATATGATAACAGGTAACACAGATATGAAGACGTGTGAAAGAACAAACGGTCCTCACACAGGTGTAGCATTATAATTATTGAGTTGCACCAATCAAAACTGTTCTTTTAGGTGAACTCAGATGAGATCTCAAAGAAATCGCCTAAGAGGATTTACTTTTTGTTGCTATTAAATTGTTTCCTTCTTTTCCTTTAAGGACAAGTAGAGAGGGATACTTGGGCGTACCTATTGCAACATGCTGATTCATCTAGGTGTAAAGGCTAAAGCAATTCAAAAATGTGATACTGTTTCAAGGCCTGGATGGAAAACAATTAAATGAGGGACTCCGGAAGTACAGAGTTGCGGAACAGCAGCCTGCGCGATGGGCTTGACCCTCTGCTTCGCCGCCCTGCCTAGGGCTGCAGCAGTTCTTGCAACAATCTAAAAGATTCAGTTTCTGCTAACATTGTAGCCTTAGCTTCTTTGTTTTGACTGTGGCCAGGGCATTAGAGGAATAGGGTATTTCAAGATTTAAGAATGGACTCCTTCCACAAGTGATGGTGACAAACTTACTTAACATTTGTTCTTTTGTTTACAGTAAAGTCTTCCAAAAGTTGGGTTCATCTCTGATCTCCATTGTTTCACATAAAAAAGAAAAACTTTTTTTTATACAGCACTGCGATTTTGACAACTTTTTTATTTTCATGGATAGAAAATTCTGCGGTACATTCCACAGCCTACAGTATGCAGACGGTCGGGGTGGCTTTATAGAAAATATTATTGAATGAGTCTGCTGGGGAACAATGAATGATAGTTTCATAAACAACCTTTAGGAGGCAGACACGGCTTCAGTTTAGCCCTATAAAAGCATGTCCATGTACAATAGCCTGTAGAAAGTGCTAAGAAAATACACAACTAAAATAAATACATAAAATATATAATACATAATAAATAAAATAACAAAAATGGAGACATGAAAGGTTTTGTGTGGGACCAGACAGTGCCTAGGACTGGATGGAGGTGTGTGGGGGGTGCAGGGTATCTGGTCTGTAAGTCTATCTTTGTTAAAAATTTAAATTTATTGGTACTACTTAGACATACATAATGACCACATTCACTGTAGAGAATTTGTATCTGTACGTGATTATAAAATCCATCTTTGCATGTGTTGTGCTGCTCGTGGTGTGAGAAGTCAGAACACAGAATAGAACAGGCAGTGACCAGGCTGCTAAATTCAGACACTTTTTTTTCAAATCCATTTTATTTATAGATAATTCAGATACTTAATGTACAACAGGTATCACCACTGCTGGTGTTAATATTTGTCCTGGAGATTTGCTTTTCTAACATACAGAGTACATCTCTTGGGCTTCTTTATATGAAAATTTGTATGTAAAAATTGTTAATTTGACCTATCGAATACTATTGCATGTTTCTAAGAGAATAAATGTTTTTTGTTTTGTTTTTGAGACAGGCTCTCACTATGTAGATTATTTTGGCCTTGAACTCAGTAGATAACCTAGGCTGCTGTGAAATTCACAGCAATCCTACTTAATTTTAACCAGAGTAACTGCTGAAAGGGAAGGACTTATTCCCCCAACCATCCTACTTGAGATGGTGAAAGTACGTTTTGCTTTTATAAACCAAAACAGGATTGCAAGAGGCAAATATGTCTTTAGGTAGAAAGGAGATTTAGCCAGACATAGAGGTGAACTGAAAATCTGTTGACGTGCAGGAAGAACCATTAATCCTTTGTGTGTACACACTTGAGCTGAAATCTAGGACATATAAAATTAAGTGTCATAAGGAAAATATAATAAGCAGGCACCTCAATGATTAGGTAGTCTTTATTATAGTGTAAATGGCTCTGTGACAGCGTAATGACAGTGCCCAGAGGAGCAGCACAGAACTGGTTAATACGAGGGCAAATAGTCGAGCTACAAGCGCAGGTCGAAAAGTGTCCTGTTACATTTTTGGGAGACCTTTCCCATTCATCCTGGACAATGAAGCTCTCTTTTTTGGTTTAGAAAAAAAGGATGCATAGAAATGTTGCAGTATGACATCAGATAAACAGGAGCACCTTTAAAGTGCCTTGAGAGTTTATTCAAGAAGTTTCCTCTGTATTGGATAGCAGGCAGTTAGTCAAGATGCCACCATCGTACATACAAGGAGGCACTGAATAAGAATGGAGAACAGTAAGAACAATCCCAATGTAAGAGGAAATGTTAGCCTGTACGTGTTTTATTGACAGTTGTAATTGCTCTTTTAAAAATAAAATTTAAGTATTTTTTCTTTGAAAAAGCTGCTTCCATACTTATTATACTTATTTTTTTAATTATTCAGTGCTGTACGAATATTTTTTCTTTTCTGTTTTTTATTTCAAAGAGGGCAAAATTAAATACAACAAAACAGAACACAAGAAAACAATTCAAGAAACACAGACCTCAAAGCAAGACCACCAGAGACCTTCACTGTCCCTTGTTCTCTTCCAGATAGCTGTCCACATCCCCACACACAGTGAATTCATACCAAACAAGGCAGTTCTAAACTGATCAGAACAGGATGATGAAGGCACCCCAGGTCCTCAAGACCAGACAGAGGGAAGCCAACAATGGCCGCCACAGTGTCTCCCAATCTCCCAAAAACAGCCGTCCACATCATCCCATGGCTCAGTGCTGCTCTCCACGGTGGTGTTATACTTATTTTATAATATCTGGAAACCAGGCAAGGGGAAAATCCAAACTGAGAAAATTAGTATCAATACCTTGGTGTTTCCTTCTAGTCTTTTCCCTTAATTTCCTGTTTCTCTCATCCAGTACGTATACACACTTAAAACACACGCAATTGGAGTCCTGCTGCTTCTAGTCTTATATCCTGCTTTTTCCACTTAACATACCATGAGCATTTTTCCATGTCATTAAATATGCTTTGAATACGTTCTTGGCCACATAAAATTCCATCCTGCTGATGCACCTGTTTTCTTTTAAGCAGACACATGCCATGTTTTCCAGTCATGCTGGACTCTTTAAAGCCAAAGAAAATATTTTGTGTTTGTGCCACCACGAGCCTCTCACAAATTTGTTTTAAATCCCATTTATAAAATGTACTAAGATGCACACACGTTTGTGAGCACTAGCTATAAAGGTAGTTAATAAGCACTCTAAAGAAAATGCCAGTCAGCACCTGTCCCCTTGCCAGTCTGGTTAGTCACCCACACCACCACTGTGAATATCAACAAGTGTCACGAACGCCAGGTAACACCGATCATTCTACTGCAATCTCTTGGGCCCCCATCTCTAGATTTTAATAATGGTTTTAAACTTAAAATAACGTCAAAAACAAGTGCTACAAACTCAGCCTATGATTTAGTTTCCTAAGTTTGAGCATTTCGGGGAGACAGGTGGGGGGGGCGCGGCCCAGGCTAACAATGCTCCGTGCACTCTGCTACGGAGCTCCACCAACACCCCATCCCTGAATTTGAGTCATTTTTAATTTTGTTCCTGTCTGTCTGGTCCTTGTCTTTAGCCACAGAGATAAAGTTTCAAAATAATCTGCTAGAAACTTGGACTTCTCCGGGGGTAAGCACAGGCTGCATATATGTATCCTGGAATCCTCAGGAGGGCACTGTGGAACTGTGTTCCCCTCCTGGAGAAGGCTCTTTTGTTACTCAAATTTTGTGGGAAGTACAAGGCCAGACCTCCACAGAGAACCCTTTATATTTTCATTTATTTTTAATTAAAGACAAACCATGGATTTTTAAAAATGCAAAATGGGAATGCGTAAGGTTACTGGGGCGAGCTCTCATAGTGAAACCAAGCAAACTGAGCACTGCGCTGTTTCTACCTGCAAAATCCCACTCAGGTAAGGAAACCACTTCCATGTCGGTTTATGGACATTTGTAAGGGGTAAACCTGGACCAGATGTTTTCACAATTTTATAATTTCCAATAGTTGAAACTCTCAGCTGTGATAGTACTTATTATAAAACCAAGTAGCTTAAAAAAACAAGCCTTTTATAGCTTGTGTTGAGATGAACTTGGCTTTTTAGGGCTTTCTTTCCACATGCCCTGCACCTCAAGTGTGTTTAAACTGTGTTTAAAGTTTTGTTATGTTTTTCTAGAACAAAAAACAATGAAATCATTATTCAGATAAAATATTATAGGTTTATTTAAAACTTATTTCTCACCTTGAGTATGCAAAATACAAACTCCACAAAATGTTCATTTCTTTACTTCGTAGTTTACAAATATACAAAATAGAAGTTTGCTTAAATTTATATTACATATTTATTAAGGCAAGGAACTATATAGAAAAAACACATTTGTCCTGTTTAAGGCATATTTGGGAATAATCCATTGTACAAATTATTGCACATCTGAAACCACAGTGCATAACAGACTGTCTGCATAAAAATGTTAAAGAAGTAAACCAGGTATATTTACCTGACTTAGGTCATAAATGTAGATCGGAAGGCAAAAATAGATTTTCCTTGTCAAAGTATGCAGCAGTTTGAGAAGAACTTTGGCTTCCTCATTTGGTACCTTTAGAACCAAGACTCACCAAGCACCATCATGTAGGCTATTAAAACACATTTTTCTGTACCTGAATTTCTTTCTCTTCTTCTAACATACTAATGGCTTTTAGAAGTCAAAGAGAGTACAAGGTGATCTTTAGACTTATATTGCATCGAGACACAACTCAAGAAAATCTTGGTCTTCCCGCCCTCCCCAAGCATGGATCTAATTTATACCCTGATATCCACAACTTCCAGTCTCTCCCATGGCGTTTCCTAAGTCTGGGTATGTTCAAGTCGGATTTGGAATTGGAATGGTAGAAGATCCAGTCACAGACCCCATCTGTTCTTTGATTTGGATTTGTCTTTCGGATAGCTCCTTTCTCCTGATTATCCACTCACAAGCTGACTCTTTGGGAACTTGACCATGATTGTAGTGCTTGCCAGCTGGGCTCCTCGCGAGTGGGAAGACAGTGTAAAAGGTTTTTGACAAAAATACTGAATTCTCTCCTGGCAGTGCGGGTCGCGTCCACTCTGGGGTTTAAAAGTGCCTCTTCATGTGTAAGGCGAGGTGGTCCGACCTGGAAAAGGCCCGGTCACACTTCTGGCACTGGAAGGGGCGGTGGCCCGTGTGTTTGCGGTAGTGCCTGGTCAGTTCATCGGAGCGGGCGAATTTCCACCCACAGCCATCCCAGTCACAGTGGTAAGGTTTCTCACCTGCGAGAGGAAAAGGAAAAGGAGCTGCTGAAGCCTTCATACAGAGAACCCGGCCCGCTCAAAACCGAGGCCCAGTATTTAAACAAACTCCCTGTGCACCTCCCTTTTGAAACAACCCAGTTATGTCTATGCCACTGAAGGGTCATATTAAATCTCAGACCACACAATAAGAACATTATGACTTTTAAGGATTTGTTCTTATGTTTAGGTATAAACAAATGCACAAATTATGACTGATGGCATCTTCTTCCCCAAATCAACCACTTAACCAAACTATATATATATATGTATGTATGTGTGTTACACACACAGATATAGAATGATTTTTTTAGTTCCTTGAGACAGGCTTTATTTAGTTCAGGTTGTCAGGGAACTCATGTAGCTCCAAATTGGCCTGACTGGCCTGACTCTCCTGCCTCAGCCTCCCCAGCGCTGGGATTATAGGTGTTGTGCTGCCACGCCCAGGACAAGGGAAAAAAATCCCATTATAATTAATCAAAAAAAAAATCACAGGTACACAGCCCACTATAATCCCAGTACTAGAAAGGCAGAAGCAGGAGAATTACTGCTCCAGCTTTGAGACTAGCCTGGGCCACAAAGTGCGCTCAAGGCCAGCCTGAACTGCATAGTGAGACCCCGTCTCAAAAAAGAAACAAAAAAGTCACAGGTTGCTATAAACTTATCACACATCTGTTACTTTAGTGAAAGCAAGTACCTTTGTACCTAGTTGCAGTGACTTGGAAATTTAGTGACAGTCTTAAAACAGAACCTCTTCAGCAACCATAAACATTTATTTCTTGAAATTCAAAATCTAGCAGGGTGTGGCGACACACACCTATAAGCCCTGCACTCTGGAAGCCTGAGGCAGGAGGATTACAAGTTTGAGCCCAGCCTGGGAAACTCAGTGACTTAGCAAGACCCTGTCTAAAAATAAATATAAAGGCGCTGGGATGTGGCTCAATGCAAAGGCCCAGAGTTCAATCTCCAGCACCACAAAAACTAAAAATTAAGGACTAAAACTACAAATAGTAGAATGGGAGGATAAATCTGGAAAGAAGCCAATCTGTGAAAATAACCCAGAAAATAAGAACTGAATTTAAAAATCCTTATGTTTCACAGTATAACTTCTTGATCACAGTGGGACAGCTTTGCCCAACTTAGAACAGAGGCCCACATATGTCTGGGAACCTCCCTGCATTTTAAAGGCCTAGCAAAACTGCACATTCAAGCAGATATCATCCATCAAGCAAAAGGCTCCTGGGCAAAAAGGTAGGCGCCGCTGTGCTGCCCTCTCCCCTGATCTAGAGATGAAGCAGATACACCGCAGCACCCAAGGGCGCCCCAGGAGTCCAGCCTGTGAGTACAGGGACACCAGCTCCCCTCGTTCTAACCCTGCTGTGCCCCCTCCCTACCTGTGTGGGTTCGCAGGTGTGCCTTGAGATGAGAACTCTTTGTATAGGTTTTGCCGCAGCCAGCATAATCACAAGTATGGGTGGCTGTCCTTTTCCGGGGCCACGACCTTCTTCCCCTCTTTGGCTTGGGCTCCTCTGGCAGGCAGGAACCGGGTGGCATAAGCTCTAAGGGTGAAGAAGGTGGAGTCAACATCATTCCGAGCCGGAGAAACACGCAGGGCCCCCCAGCCCAGCTAGCAATCCCCCAGACTGACCTTGGTAGTGAATCGGTGGGACTTGCGGCTGCATTTGGTCGGGCAGGAAGGGTGGGTAGTTGGGTCCCGGATGGGGATGGAATCCTGGGGGAAGCGGCAGGGCAGGGTGACAGTCCCTGTTGCTCAGCAGTTCCTCGGGACCCAGGGTCGGGTTAGTCCTGCTCGGGAGCTGCCGCCCCATGGAGAAATCGTGGGCACTTGGCCGGTGCCCGTTGCTGAGCGGCGGTCCAGCGCCCAAGTGGGCCTCCAGAGGCCGGCCGACCGTGCAGGAGGACACCGCCTCTTGCTTGATCTTGGCACACATGCGCGGCGGTCCGCCGTTGTAGGGCGCCACCACCACCGGGTGGCTGCAGTCCGGGCTGCCTTTGCTAACACTGATGACCGACGGACTGCCATACTCGCTTCCAGGGGCGCTCAGCGACGCCTTCAGCACAAACTTGCCCATTAGCCCGCCACCTGGCGGCGGCTGCTGCGGCGGAATGTACACGGGCTCCAGCTCCGGCCGCAGGAGCTCGGCCACGAAGCCGCCCGAGGGGCTCACGTCGTTGATATCCGCCAGGTTGAAGGGAGTCGTGGAAGGGGGCGCCGCCGACTCCCGGCCGTACAGGAGGCCGCCGCCGGTGCCGCCCGGAGCCACGCCCGAGTCGCCGCCGCCCCGCATCGGGTAGCTGAAACTGCAGGTGGAGGGCGCGCTGGCGGGACCGCTGCTCGACGGGGAGGACGAGGAGGAGGCCGACGCCGACGAGGACACGGTGGCGGCCACTGACTCTTGATGAGACAACGAGTTGGAGAGAATAAACTCCAGGTCCAGGAGATCGTTGAATTCCTCCGACTCTCTCCGGGGTAGGTGGGGTGGATTGCTACCGCTGCACGCCGCGCCTGCGCCACCGTCCAGGTCCGTGGCCACGGTCGCCGCCGCCAGGTCGTAGGGGCGGCCGGGAAGCCCTGGGTTAAGTCGCTTCATGTGGGAGAGCTCCTCCCGCCAGCGCTGTGGGGACAGGGCGAGGGAGAGGCTTGAGCGGTCGGCCCCGGTCGTCAACACACTGGTTCGCGCCCGCACCTCGACATGGGCGCTGGGCACGCAGAACGCTCCCGGGCACTCCGGTGCCAGCGCTGCACTCTGGGCCAACACCGGGACGAACCCGCCGCCCGGGGAACTGGGGCACGAGCTCTCCCGTACGCCTTCGCCTCTGGCCGCCTACTCGCTAAACACTCGGGCCCAGCCGGTGTCTCGGGATTTAGCCGCCTACCGCCCGGGGAGCCGCGAGCGCCCATCCTACTGCCAGCGCGCCCGGGGACGTGTCAGGACCCCGCTGGACGCGCTGGCAGCACCGCAGGGCACGGACGCGCGCACACAGTTGAAGCAGGGACCCGGAGCCGTCCCGGGAGGGCTGCAGAGTTGGGGTGGTGACCGCCCCTTCCCTGCGCCCGGTGGTTCCAAGTGACCCGCGGGTCCCGCCCGTCCCCACCCCAGCTCGCAGAAACCCAACCAGCCGCTCCCGAGGCCCCTGCGCGACACTCACGTTATTCGGGGCACCTGCTGGACGCAGTGTCTTCTCCCTTCCCGCCGGGCCGGACGCGAACGTGGAGAAGGACGGGAGCAGCGCGTCGCTGACAGCCATGTCAGACTCGCCAGGTGGCTGCCTGAGGGCCGGGCAGGGCGCACAGGGAGGCAGGAGTGAGGGGCAGCTGTGGGCCAGCGCGCCGGGCTGTCCCGCCGGTCCGCACCCCTCGCTGTCCCCGATGCTCCGCATCTCACCTACCTCATTAATCTGGGGGCCCAGAAGCTCTTCGGAGGCCGAAGCAGCGGGGGTACCCGAACCCCAAAATTAACGAAGGGAAAAAAATAAAACCTTAGAAAAGTCAAAAACCCCAAACCCGAAAATGCCTAAGATCCTTCTTCTTTGGGTTAAATATAAACTGGAGACGTCTCTCTTTTTTTAAAAAAAGTTCCTTTGTATACAAAAGTTCTTAGAAAAGTTGTAAACTCTTATAAAAATAGACGATTAGCAAGGCGAGTTAAGTAGTCCGGTGGCCAGGCTGCGTTCTCTTCGACTCAGCAGCGTCCCCCACCGCTGTCGCGGTCGCTGCGGCTGTCGTCGTGGGCGCAGGGGCTGTGGCCGGGGCGGTGGGCGGGCGGCGCCGCCAGGTGAGAAGGGCCGCGGCGGCGCGGAGCTGCGAGCTGGGCGGAGGCGCAGGGCGCGGAGTCCCGGGGGCTGCGCGGGCCGCGGGCGGCTGGGTGGGTGGGGGCCGGTGGGGCGGGGAGGGGCACTCGGCGGCTCCCGGGGCCGCCGCCGCCCGCCACCGCCTCTGCTCCCCGCGCGCCCGCAGCCGCGCTCGCTGTCTCCGGCGGGGGAACTGCCGGCGGCCGCAGCGCGCTTCTTACTTATAACTTCTTGCTAGTTCTTCCCCGCCTCCGACCGACCAGCCGCGCGCGGGGTCCGTCGCCAGGCCCCGCCCCTCCCTTTCTTCTCCCCGCCCCCCGCGCGTTGCCATGGCAGCTAAATAAACAAACTGGGCGCACGTGGGGGCGGGGGAGAAGGAGGGGCGCGGGCGGGGCCGGGGCGAGCCGTGACGCCAGCCGGCAGCTGGCGGGCTGGAGCCTGGCTGTCGCCGGCGGCGGTGGCGGCGACCGCGCGGCGCGGGGAAGCGGGCACAGGTTGGGTCGCCGCGCGACTCGGCCCGCCGTGCCACCACAGTCGGTTCTGCGCGTTCGAAGCCCAAAGCAGAGGAGGCTGGCGGGGGCGGGGAGGGAGGCCGCGCGCCCCCCACCCCGTCCGCGTACGCGCTCGCCGCGCCATCTGCGCGCTGAGAAGAGCGCGATTATCCGCGTGACTCATGCAGCCCGCCCCCCTCGCGTACGCACGCCGGGCTGGGCCTGGCTCGGGGCCTCGGCGGGTGGGGGTGGGGACCGGGACGGGCGCCGGGGGGCGGTGCTGGATGGCGGGCAGTGGGAGCCCGCGAGGACTGCAGGCGAGAGCCGCGCGTCGGCGGCCGCGGAAGGCCGGAGTGGGACCCGGGGTTCCGGCTTTTCAGATTTAAAGCTGCGAGAAGGAGTGAAAGGGCTCGGGGTGTACGAGGAGGGTGGTGGGGGTGAAGGGGGGCGGCGAGGCGCGGGGACAGCTTTCAAGCAGCAGCTCAAAGCGCTTTACGAGCTACGCTCTCTCCTTTCCACTTTACGGATGAGAACACTGAGTCATAAAGAGGTGAAATGGCGAGGCTGGGGTCAAAAGACAGCGCGCTCGCGTCTGCTCAGGTTCGGGGCCTGACGAGCACACAGACTTGGTTGCGAAGTGGCCAGGTGCCAGAAATGCAGCGACGCGGTGGGACCTCAGTTTCCAAAAGAGCACACCCGGCGGCCGTCCTTGCCCCCTGGGAGGGGGACGGGAAGGGGAGGTCGTAGTTTCACTCTCACAACGCTGCCTCCCCACCCCCTCTCCCCCTTAGTCTGCGATCAGTAATTTTCCAGCCGGGAAATGTTTTCGCCCTCATCTCTGCAAACAGTATTTTTTTTTTGGTTTGGGTTGGTTTTGTTTTTAAACGTGAGTGTGGTGTTCAGTATCTCTCGCCGAGCGTAGGTTTGCGAGGTGTTTACTTTGGATTCGAGCTCCACCCGCACTCTCCGGGCCGAGCCCCTCATCAGCGACTGCAGCGGCTCACGGCGTGACAGGCGGGGCAGGAAGGGGACAGGGCGGCTGGGGAGCCTTAGTGAGCACGCCCCCCCGGAGCTCGGCTTGCCACGTACTTGTCGTTTGTCACCTGTTTGAATCCTGCAATCCTGGTGCTATCGGGTTGCCTCAGAATATTTGTTATCCCTGAGTTTTCCACTCCTCACCGACCACAGAAGCATTCTTGGAATGTATTTCGCCCCGAATGAATCGAGTCGGCCCATTCTGCCAACGGCAGGAATCCCTGTAAGATCCGGAGAGCCTGACGCCCTGGAGGGTGACAGCCATCCTCTGGCTTGTGGCTGGGGTGAGGGGGCGTGCCTTGGCAGGGATACCGAGGCCCTTCCTCGTGTGGCCTCTAGGGGTTCAGTCCCGTCCCCAGAGGAGCTGGCCAACTACACTACAGTACTTAGGACTCTGAAAATTCTTCCCTTTCAAACGGAGAAACCGAAAGGGAAAACACCTGCTATCTTTCCGGACCCTTTCCTTGTTAAGCCAGAAACCACTTGGGGCTCCGAGGAAAGATGGCCACATTCCCATTAAGGCCAAGGTCCCCAAACCGCGATGAACTTGACTGAGTACTTGACTGGCAGCTGTCTTGCACGGAATGTAAATGCGAAAGGCAGGACTAGTTTTTATTGATCTGAGGCATTAGCCCTTTCCTCCTCAGAAAAATAACCTAACTACCACAATTTAAAAAATATATACTGCACAGATGAATTGGAAAGCCACTATTATTACATCACATAATCAAGACAAGATTCTGAATCTCAGTTGAAAAAGAAGTTTCCAGTCAGCCTTCTGAAGGATAAAAGCCAGCGCCTCTTTGTGTAAGGCAACTATCTGGTTATTCTTCTGATTGCATCATGAAGGGGAATTTCTCCTTCTTACCCCAGAGGTAAGGAACTTGGAGCTGCCATCTCATCTCCTTTCAAAGCAGGTGCCTGATGTGACAAGGAGGCTGTGACCCTCCCTGTCTTCAGAACAGGTAGGGCCAGAAGAGTTAAATCCCTGCCCTGTGTAATTTATAAACATCAGGCTGAGTAAACCTTTGATGACTAAATTGTACTCTAAAATAATAATAATGGAAGACACTCTTTCAAGAAGAATTAAATACTGGTGACTTTATTTCAGCAAACTGATATTACAAGTTTTGTGGTATGGAAGTTAATTATTAATGTCCTTGGAGTTATAAAACAATTTTTTTCCAGGATAAACTACATGAGTTGGCAGAGATGCAGTGCAAGCCCTGAGTGCTGGGGGATTAACTCAGAGCCTGGACGGGTGTGAGAGACTGAAGAGACAGTGTGAATGTGAATGTTTCGGGGAAGGACGCAGCACCCATCATGGGTCTGGGCACATAGAGCACCCAGGAGAGCTGCGCTGTACCTTGGCCTGGTTGTCTGCTGCACGTCTCAGCAAAAGCTGCTTTTTTTGTTTTTCTTTCATAAAGGCCAAAGCAAGGAATGGTTTTAAGTATCCAAATGACTTTGAAATGCAATCCCCACTAATACATAACTGGGGGGGTGCCTGCAAATTCTACAGGGCAGCAAAAATTTTGTCAGCTTCCATTCCCTATCTACTTGTAAACTGCAGCCTTATTTTTTAATCTCAATTTTGTTTTGAGACCAGATCTTATGTTGCCTAGGCTGGTCTTGAAATCTGTGGCTCATGTAGTCTTTCCTCAGCCTCCTGAGTAAGCTGGTACTGGGCTCCAACTTCTGTCTCGTGAAGAGGTTAAGAAAGTAGTCTTTAGCTAGGTGTGTGTGGTGGCACATGCCTGTGAGCCCAGCACTCAGGAGGCTGAGGTAGGATGGTCACCATAAGTTTGAGGACACCCTGGGCTATATATTGAGTTCAAGGCCAGCTTGCACTACATAGTGAGACCCTGTCTCAAAAAAAAAAAAAAAAAAAAGTCCATTTCATTTCAAAGAGAAAACAAGCAAAAACAGCAACAGCAATATGAACAACAAGACCAAAAAGGAAAAGAAAGACTTTGACACAAGATTTCCTTGTCAGCGGCTTAAGTGCCTGCCTGGTAAGCATGAGGTCATGAGTTTGATCTCTGGTACCAAAAAAAAAAATGATTTCCTCATCTGCTGCTGCTTCCTAGCTGGGCAGGTGACTGACCTCATGTCACCTGTTCCCTCTTCTGTAAAATGGGGCAGTAATAGTACTACTAAGAGTGATGACAGTGAACTTAGATCATATAAGCACTGGATTTGAGCCTCAGTCCACACTATCAATATCCCTGGTATTCTCCAGGGCCCCATAAGTAGACTTCGGGAGGATATAGGATATAGTTATATTCATTACTGTATCCCCAGGTCCTCGTTTAGGGCCTGCTTAGCACACAGTAGTCATCTCTAAGTATTTGTTGAACGAATGAGTAATGTACTTTTCCTTTTGGGACAGTCCTTAGCAGGAAGTTGGTCTTTCAGTGCTCACCACAACCCATGCAGAGTCACTGTACTTTCTCCAGGCTCCCCTAAGCTCCCTAAACTGGAAGCCCAGATTTCCCTGTCCTCCTCCTCCATTTTCTTTGATCTGGGAATCTGGCCATTTCTATTCCTGAGTGTATCCACTGAGTCTTTCCTACCGGAGCTGCCTTGGTTCCATTTCTCTCCATCCACAGGAGCCTGTAGCCCCCTCCTCCCGTGGCCCCAGCGGAATGTCCCCGAATTGCCTAACCCACTTTGTTCCTGGGCCATCCCAGTCCTTTGCCTCCAGACCTCTCCACCTGTGCCAGTCTTCTCAGGGCCCCTTTGCCTGCAGGTGCAGGACCAAACTGCCGACCCTGGTGGACCCAGTGTCTCCCATGCGGCCCTAGGTAAACTTGCCAAGGCCTCTCCAGGGACTGAGCCCCCCCCCCCAACCCTTAGCTGGATGTTCCCGGAAAGCCCTGCAGCTGTGGTGTCCTCTTCTGTCAGCTGTTTTTCCTCTCTGAAATGTGGGTTCTCCCAAAAGCCCCTCATCACACACAAACCCCAAAGTCCCGCTTAATCACCTCTTGCTTAGAGCCTGTTAGAAGTTACTCTTGCTTTCTCTGAGCCCCCATCAAGCTGCATGGCGACTTCTCTGCCTTTCCTCCTGGGCACCATTATGAGTCCCTGTCCCACTGGAGCCCCTTCAGGTTAGGCCCAGTGACTGCACAATGAGTGAGATGGCTGGGGCCCACCTGGCGGAACTCTTCTTGGGGTGAGGGCTGTGTTCAGGAGTCAGGGAGCCTGTCCCCTCCCCATCCTTAGTTCTGCCCTCTGAGCGCTCACAGGCTTGGGGCTTTTCTACCCTTTCCTCCACCCACTCCTTTTTTTCTTGGAAAAGTTCTGTGAAGGAGACAAAAAATAAAATTCATCTTCACTGTCTTCTCAAAACAGTTGGGCAAAGTGAGAGAACAGCCTGGGCCAAGGCACTGTAACAAAACAAACTTGAAAACACAAACAAAAATAACCAAAACCTAAACCAAAACCAAATGGAGAGAGAGTCAACTCTTTTCTGCAGCCAAATTCATTGCCTTTCAAAACCCAAACGTTGGTTATTGAAGTTTTTAGAGCAGAAAATGAATCACAGACATTTAAAAATCAATTCTCAGAAATTTAATTAAAATCTTTTTCATGAGCTCTTAGGTTTAATCATTTAAGTTACATCACTTAAGTACGAAAAAAAGAGG